AATATATATGGGTAAGGAGCTTGTTAAAGGAGCTCAACTTTGATCAAGAAGATTAAACAAAAGTTTTTGTTGGTAACAAGTCAGCGATTGCACTAGCGAACAATCCAATGTTTCATGATCGAATCAAACACAATGATACTCGGTATCATTTTCATTCGAGAGTGCAATGCAAAGAAGGAAGTTCAAGTTAAGTTTGTAAAGTCTAAAGATCAAACTGTATATATCTTCACGAAACCTCTGAAAAGCAAATTGTTTGAGAAATTAAGGAATCAATTTGGAATGCGAGAATTAAGCTTAGGGTGGCGTGTTGGAAATGAATAAGCTAGATTCATTATAAATCAAGTCCAAAGAATTGAAAATTCTAGAATTATAGAGAAAAAAAGAGGGTATTCGAGCGAATCTTGGAATTGTATTGATTGGGGGAGTAGTATTCAAAGAAGTGAAGTTAGTAAAAATATTTTTATCTCCTCTCCACTACTCTTTATCTCTATGAAAATAATAAAAATAATTATTTATTTTATTATTATCTTGATGATAAAAAAAATCCCAAGTACAGTTGTAACTAGAAATATGATTATTTATTTTTTTGCTTAATAGAATGATTCTTTCTTTTGAAAATTGCTGGAATTTTCTTCATTTGTAAATATTTTACGCTGATAATAAGATGCATTTTGTTTTTGTGTAGGAATCTAGTTGGGCCTGAATCAGCCCACACCTTTATAAAGTAATCATTTGGGATGAAAAAAATACTATTAATACAAATATTAATTATTTGATAAATATATAATTTATGAATTTATAGTACAAAAATCTCTATGGTGACTAGGGGTTGAAATCGGACAGAATGGATCGAAAATGGTTTTTTTTATTCCAATTTTTTTTTTGATGAAAAAAATGGGTTCTAATTTCCGTTCCAAAAGAATTGGAATGCAAAAATTCATTCTGATTCAGAACGCCTCAGAATCGGCGGAATTTTCAAATTTTCAAAAATCACATTAGTTTATAATATCTTGTTCTAAATTCGAATATAATGCTAATTTTCACAATATTTTTCTATCTTTTTCGAAAATTTGCAGGAAAATGAAAGGAAATTAAAAAAGGGACAAAACGCAATAAATAAAACCACATATATGAACAACAAATTAAAACATAGATTTTATGATAAGAAAAAATGCAATCGAAAGTTTCTGGTACCAATCAATCTTTTATAATGTTATAATTTACTTGGCCCTTCGATTTACATATTTCATATAAAATATAACATAAGTTATATTATGAAATTATAAAACATATCATAAAATTATATTATATATTTAAAAAAAAATTGAAATATTTGGAACTAAAATTGGATCGAAAATTATAATTTTGAATAATTTTATACAAAGTTCTGATTCCATTCCAAATAAATTCGAAAAAAATGGAAATCAGAATTTCAGAAATCGGAATGAAAAATACAATTTTAAATTCGGATATTTTTAGATCAAAATTGGCGAATTAAGAAATTCTATTCCGAGTTTCACCATTAATGGTGACACGAAACCGATGATAGTTGCACTTGCACCTTTGCTTTGAGCATGTTATGTTCAACGAAACATTCAATACGCATCAACAACATTTGTAAATTATTGTAATATTTTAGTTTCATCCCAAATAAGAAGTTGCAGTTAAAACTTAAAAAGTTAGTTCGGATAACTGATATGCTCCGTACGTCCCATATTATATGTCGTTTTGGGTGGTTGAGCGCATATTAAGAAACTCAATAATTACGCATAAATTATACCAAAAATAACATATTAAATACTAAAATACCCTCGTTATTGATTATTTTTCAAATTAATTATGAGTGATAAGGGCAAAATAAATAAAAATACAATTATTGCTTTATTGGAACTCTAAAATGATAAATAATTTGAGACTAACCCCAAAAAACAAATAATATGAAACATAAGGGGTAATCATTTTTGGGAATATGTTTCATTTAATTATTTTAAACATTTAGCCAATTATTGATTTATATCATGAATGAAACCACATTCATATTTGGCCTTTTAAAAGTTAATTAATCAAATTGATTTAAGTTATTCATCCAAATTGAGACAAAAAATGTATTAAACTATATTGATATAAAATCCTGCAAGAGATGGTCTAGCGGTTGGAGAAAGTGGTTTTGTGTCAATTGACCCAGGTTTAAGTCCCCTTGCCAACGATCGCTAGGTTGAGCTTGTCACAAATAGCTTAGTATGGTTTACGTCTCTAGTATGGTTTCCAAGCTATTATACGAGAACGCTAGGTCGAGCTTGTCACACATAGCTTAGTATGGTTTACGTCTCTCGTATGATTCGCAAGCTATTATACGAGAGTGTAGGTTTACCCAGTGCACCTATATGGTTGACTGTGTGTTCCTTCATTAACAAAAAAAAAATATATTGATATAAAGAGTAATATTCCTTTAATGTCTCAATATTGTGAAATATTATTATAGCGGACAGATATTTTGAATTTGCTATAAGTTTCTCGGGCATCTTAGTTGGATAGTTTTAAATTTGACTTAGACTGAGAATAGACAACTTAGTTGGAGAGTTTAGGCTAAAAATAGACAATCTACATTGAAAGTGGACAGCTTAGTTGGAGAACTTAGACTAAAAATAGACATCTTAGATTGAAAATCAATGAAAATAACATGTTTTCAAAGATGTAGTAGGCGAAAATTAGATGGTTGGCGACAAAGGACTAGTAATGGAGCTAAGTAAGGGGTGAACGAGCTGAGTTCACCTGTTTTGGCAGGCTCGAGCTCGGGCTCATCGAGTTTTTTTCTTTTTTTTTGGCTCGAGCTCGAGCCCAAGCTCATTTTGTTTGTTTTTTTTTATGAAAAAATATTTAAATTATAATAAAACAAATTCAAAATAAACAATAAACTGTAATTATATATATTTTTAATATTTATATATTCTTTTTATATTATTTCTATAATATTTTATATAATTATACGTTATTTAAATAAAAATAATATATATATATATATATATATATATATATATATATATATATATATATATATATATATATATATATATATATATATATAAGGCTCGAGAGCTTATGAACAACTAAAAATAAGCTCGAGCTTGAGATTGAAAAACTTGAGTTCGAGTTCGAGTTCGAGCTTTTCTTGAGCCGGCTCATCGAGCTCACGGAGTGAAAGTCGTTTTGAGGACAAATGAGTTGGAGGTGAATAAAGTAGTTCCAGTCTAGAGTGAATATTTTCAGTCTAAGCTCTCCAACTAAGATGTCAGAGGACTTATAGCCAATGCAAAAATATAACTATCCTGATTTGAAAGAATATTAGTGTCCGGTGGTGTTTAGCAAATTAGCCCATAAGTCAAACTTAGTTGATCATTCATTAATCATTACATTTGAAAAACTTAAATTTATGTATTTTCTTAAATTATTTTTATTTAATGAAATAATTTGTTTATCAAGTAGGAACTTTCTATAATTAAATTGAACACAAATAAATCTTCTAATAGGAATATCAAATATGAATGTTATCCTGACTTGGTACGGCGTCGTATACCCGAACCCCCCGTCTCTACCCGCATTATAAATAGCTATTATCACCGACTACACCACGCGCGGTGCGTATTTAACAAACGCCCCCCTTCTCCTCTACCATCCTTACATTCTCATTCTGAAATCAACAAAATCCACAATCTTAGGTTAGCGATTTCTATC